CCCCGCCGGCCCCCCCCCTGCCGCTTCGCCCCTGCCTTGCGGCTCCCAACGCAGCTCGGTGAACGGGTGCTCGTCGGGAGCCAGGTGTTTTCTGAGGCAGGGCCTTTGCGGCGAGAAGCGGGAGCGGGCGGATTTCTGTCAAAACCGAAGAACCCCAGTGATGTTTCTCTGCGGGGAGCCTCGCCCCCCTCCCCCAAACGCCCCCCCGGGGCTGTGAGGGCTCCCGCTGCAGAGGCGGTGCTGCTGCTCACCGGCCTTTTCCAGCAGAGAAGACCCCTAGCGTAGCGTTCTTGAGCTTCACCAGCTGAAGCCCCAGAGAGGCCTTCCTCCCACCAAAGGCCTGGACAAAGAAGAGCATTTGGGGTCAGTCACGCTGTAGGCGTTGTCAGACTCTCGTTTCATGCTTTACCTTGGTGCTGAGGGGAACGTAGCAGGCGCAGCCCGAGGGGGAAGGCATCCCCCTTGGCGAGGGTCCCCTGCGGCGGTGGGTGCCTGCCCTGAGGGAAGCCGGCGGCGACGGGTCGTTTCATTCCTCCGCGCCGCCAGGGGGCGCGCGGCTTCGTCGTCCCCTGGAGGGCGGGGGCGGCGCTGCGCCTGCGCGGCGGTTCGAACGGGATGGCGGCTGAGGCGGAGGAAGGGTGAGGGGGAGCGTCTCCCCCGCCCGTCTCCTCACTCGTCGCCCGGTGCCGTTGTCATCTGCCGTTCTGTCTTTGCAGGATGTCCAGGCTGGCGAGCGACTCTAGTACTATGGTGGCGGGTGGAGAAGTGTCTACGAATAAGCGGAAAGGTAGCCGGCGGGTGAGGGGGGAGCCCGCTCCGACGGAGGCGCGGCGGGTCGCTGAGGCGGGAAGCGCGGCGGCGGGCCCGGCTGAGCTCTCTTTGCTCCTTCTTCAGGAGGAAGAATCGTCAAGTCTCGCTACTTGCAGTACGACAAGAAAGACGCCAAGAAGGTACTTGGACGCCTCGCTGCCAAGCTCAGGTGTCGCTCAGTGAAGGGTAGAAATGGTGTGAGGGGCGGCTCGGACGTTTGGCAGCGAAAGCCAAGCAAAAAATCACTCCGCTGGGGTTATGAGGGAGTCGTAGATGCAGATTACTAGACGCAGACTGGGTTGGGAACTTGGGACTGTACTCAGGTGACTTGCAAAGCGTCAAGATGCCCTGGGATTGTAGTTGTTTATTGTCAGCATTCAAGGTGGAGGTAAGATATATTGCTGATCGTCATTACCGCTTATATTCAGTCTTATCTGTTTCTCGGTTGTCAGGATGCTTCAGCAAATTCCTTTTTATCACCTGCTGCTAAACCATCTTCTGCAACTAAACCAAGATCAGTTCTTCAGAAATGTAAAACTTCTGCTGGTAGGTTTTACCAGAACTTAAAAGCTATTTTGTGAGTTTGTATTTCTAACCTGTGGAACTCTTAACAACTCTAAAATGTTCTTAAGAGATGATATTTTGTATTACTGGCATCACTGCCAGTTATTACCTGTATACAAAGGGAATTGAGAAACTTGGTGCAGGATTAAGAAGTGTAAACTCTAGTGCCTTAAACTCTTGTCGGGACATTCTGATAGAAAACTAATCTGGAACTGAGTAATTGGGCTGTCTAAAATAAGCATAGCTCTTGCCTTCTGCACAAGGCTTTGAACTATTCTCTTACTATGCCCTCGCCATTGCCCTGCTCTTTTTATTTAATCTTTTTAATAAATCCCAGTGTAAATGATGGGAAATCCCTGTCTGCAAAACAGTCCATTTTTATTTATTTTGCAAGAATTGCAAAAGACTTTTCTGGTAAGACTTTAGCTTGACTTGAAAATACTGAGGAAATAACATTATTCCCTTTTCACATCTGAGTATTGTTGTTGAACTGTGAAATGTTTAAGAGGATAACATTCTGAGCTACCTTATCTCTAGGTAAGTTAGGGAGTATACAAATGATGTATATAAAGTAAATGTGTAAAAGTTCTCATAAGGTTGCTACATATTAGTGAAAGCATATATAATTGTGAACTTGTACAGAATCTGTTCTAATTCTTTTAGTTTGATAATAGCTTCTTTCTACAGATGTTCTCCCTAGCTCATTAAATCAGAGTAGTTTTGAGAAAGGTGATTTGCAGTCCACTTTATTGGATGAAGGTAAAATTAGTCGACCGGACCTTGATCTTTCAGCTATTAATGGTAAGCTTCCACTCACACTCAATTTCTTGTTTTATTATTTTTTAACATGTGCTGTAACTTGATTTTACAATACAATATAATTCACAATACAATACAATAACCCTTGTATTCTTCTATATTCACAAAAGGATTTTGTTAAATAAGGTGTACGTTATTTCAAGTGTCTTTAAGCAGAGGTATTAAGACCTTTGGGGTTTAAATTAACTTCTCGGTTTTTAGTATCTTTTGGGTGCTCTGTTCTTATTGTTTAAGATCAAATATTAAAGAACAAAGTGACCTCAAGTCTTTGTTCCTATAACAGATGGGTGTTACAATTTTCAGAAGGGATGATAATCTATCACGTCTATCTGTAACTGTCATTTAAAGCTAAATGCTCATGTGATCCACATTTCATGAGTATCATCAGAGCCAGAAATAGGGCACAAGTCGACTTTACTGGTACACATAATAATTTTGAAATTGTCTTTGCATTTGAAGAACCTGATGCTATGTTGACAAACCCTATATACTTTGGTAGAAGAGAGCAATAACTTTTCTGTTATGATACAGATACAGCTGTCCGCAAAAAGACTCCTGGTTCAAAATCTGCTTCCAAAGAAGGTACAGGGACATGTCAAAAAACCAAACAAGTGGTGAGTCTTGCTGCTTTCATTTGTTAAGCATATTTATTTTGGAATGTGTGAAATGAAGATTTTCTATTTATCTTTAATCTTAATAACAACTTTGAGGTCCTGAGCCTTCTGGCAGAAGTCAGAGGATAGGTCTGTTCTACTGCTAGCGGTGTTTGTTTTGTTTATCGGATGTCTGAAGACGCTTTGCTTCCGTTTCTTGTGGTAAAGAATCTGCTCCGATTGTGGGATCTCCTCAAGTGGATTCTTTTTGTATTCCTGGCCATACTTTTTAATTATATCACGTTATCCTTAAATATTTTCTGACATTTTGCTCAGAAAACTAACATTGATTCAACCTAATTTGCAGTGCCTTATTTAGGGATCTCATTCAATGTAGCACTGAAACTTCAAGTTCTCTACCAGTATTATGAAAATCTGCTGAAAATGTTATAAAAAGTGGTGGAACAAAGGATAAAGAGGTATATTTAAAATGCGTTGCTAAAAAAACCCAAACTTTTTTCATTGAGCTGACTATTGTTGATGATGATTCTGGGCACAAATTGGACTTCCAGTATTTGAATGTTGAAAAAATAATTGTTTAAATACCAAAATTGATGTAGTATGTTCTTTTCTTTTCTGAAGGGAAATGATTCTGATGCTCTGATGGAAGAGCTGGAATCTCAGACACTGCTTTTAACTTACCTAAGAGTAAAGGTGAGAATCAGTCAAGTACTTGGTGTTTCAGATGGAAGAACTTGATATTGAGGAATTGTTTAATTTCTTCTCTATGCTTTCTGATCCGTAAAAGTTAGATTTTTGTGACATTATATGTTTATGGTTGTGAAACTGTATGACTTGCTTTGAAAACTGTCTTAGAGTGAATTAGTGCCAGTTTATTAAGCTGGTGCTGATTCTTCATGAAGTAGGGGTATGCAGAAATTTTGGGAAAACTGTGAGTGAGAGTGTGTGGAATTCAAGGTTGCAGCAGTGACTTTGTGCTTTGTTCACTCAGTGCTGTATATGTATATTTTTCCTTTACAAAAAATATTAGTGGGGGTGGGGGAAGAAGATGGAGAGGGGCTTTAACTATAATGTACTGTGCTTACTGCATGAGGTCTCTGATTCATTAATTGAAGCTCTTTGACCTGGTCCAATGCTTACATGTGTTTATTCAGAATATGTTAATTACTTAGATGTAGCATTACTTTAGTTGTGAATATTTTTTGAATGTAATAGGCAGAAAAAAATCTTGCCGAGCTGGAGAAAAAAGCAGAAAAAAACTTGTTAATGTTGTGTGAAGAAAAGGAGAGACAACAGGAGAAGCTCTATGAGTTGAAGCGTGAAATTCTACTCAAAGAGAGAGAGCAGAAACTTGATGATGCATTAGACAAGCAGGTAGGCTTTATTACAATTTATGCTTCTCCTATATTTAAACAAGCTCACTTATGAAGTAGTCCTTTACCCAGAGAAGATTTCTCTGCTTCTGTGGCCTGCTGGTGTACAATTCTATGCAGCTTAAACAAAATAAATATCTGCTTCCTGTGGTGGCATGTAATGCTCTCTAGTAACCTAAGCAAATGCCTTTGTCACTTTTTTGTTGTCCCTTGTGGATAGACAGGAAGGAGAAGTTAGAGCTATTAGGCAAGGGGCAGCAATAGCGCACTGGTTGCCAGAGCAGTTTACAGTTGATGCACAGGAGATGCAAGTATCTTAAACCACGTGAACATCCTTCAGTTATGCAATTACAGTTATGGCTAGAGCTGAGATGCTAACTCTTAGGTGAGAAGTGAGCATCTGTTCTTTATTTGTCTTATTTTCGTATGTTAGACAGTGATAGTTCTGGCCTGGTTGTAAGAAGGCAAGTTTCTAATGAAGTCCTTGATAATAGGTGATCTTAAAAGCTACACCCTCCCCCTCTTTGTCAGTATTTTCTTAGTTCTGTTGTGTGAAATTAAAAGGTAGTACTTTTTGAATAATTATTTTTCAAAACTGAACCAATGTTTGCTTTTAACAAATACACATTGCAAAAATTAAAAAAGACTTTTGTGTTCTTGTGAATACACTGTTAACTACAGTCAAAGTATCATATATAGAACACTTTGCCTGCTATGTTGCTAATATCTCTGAGCTACAGTAACAAGGAAACTGGTATTGACCTAGGCATTTTGGGGTGGTAGAGGAAAACTTATTAAACAGCATGATAGGAATATCATACCACAAACTTCTTGAATTCCTCTGTCAATGAGCATTTCAGAGTGGTACTTGGGTCTTTTTGTAAATTATTTTTCTGCATTGAGCCAGGTCTGTACTAACAAAATGGCTGCTTTTGAAGAAGTGTTGGTTCATCATGTATCTTTTTCAGATAGAAGTACTTTCTTCCCTTGTTCCAGTTTGTGGACAGTTTAAAGACCAATATAAAAGCTTTGCAGCTTCCCTGGATGCCACTAGACATGAATTACCCATAAAGAATATTCACATAGAAGGAGATATGCTAACATACCTTGGTATGAAAATTTGATTAATCAAATTTATTTTCAAAAATAGTGGGTTTTGGCATGCTAAAATTCTTACATTGTTATTATTGGATCTATCTGCGGCCACTGGAGGAATTTTGTGTACTCTTAGATCTTGTATAGACACTGGGCTGCAACATTAGTCACGTGTTTTGCTGCAAATAATTCTTGTTTCCATTTAACCACTAAAATGCACTTGAGCAAGTTTTTTATCTTGCAGCAGGAAAAAAACTAACTTTCTAAACTAGGGCAGTTTTCATATATACTTTCTTTAGCAAGTTTCTGTATCTTTTAACTATATTCATGGCATTCCTCCTTCTTTCTTGTTCCTAATGGGTAAGCAAGTTACAGAAATGCTATGACGTCTTCTTGTTTCTGTGTTTGAGGGATAAAGTCACGAGGGTAGACTTGCTCATGTTTCCTGTAGAACTAGAGCTTAAATATATTGTGTGATGTCTTGAATCAGAGAGTGTTTAATAAATTAGTACTTGTGGTTTGTATTGAAGTCTGGGCAAAAAGTTATATTTTTAAACTGCTGGTCTGCAAGAAATGAGATTCTTAAACCATTTGCAATAATCTTGCTTACGCTTTAAAACGAATTGAAAAGGTTTATCAAAGAGCTTAGAATTCTTGTAAGGAGGCTTGAGAGAAAATAAATGCATGTTTTTAATTTGTGAATGCTAAAGGAAAGGACTGGATAAATTTCGTGTTGGGGGTATATGCCAATAGCAATATATGTAACTGGCCAGGGAATTTTGGATGTTTAAAACTTGGGGTTTTTTCTTGCATTTGTCTTGGAAAAAATCTTTTACATACTCTAAATGAGAGCTTGATTAGCAGTTTTAATAGCATGTTGCTGGTGTTAGTCTTCATAGCTGAAAATAATTTGGTTTTTACAGTGTTCTCATAGTGTGTTTGCAAAAGCTGAACAGACAGTAGTTTTCCATCATCTAGTTCACTTGTTTCTGTGGTTACTCCAGCTATTAAGTAATCTTGTATTAACTGATGCTACTGTATGCATTTTGAATAATATCTTTAACATCTCATATTGCAGATGAACTGCAAAAGCAATTAACTATCACACAGGAACTTCTGACAGAAGTTATGCCAAGCTACTCAGAAGAAAGTGCAAAAGCATTTAGTGTGCTGAAAGACCTTAAAGGAGTTTCTCAGCAACTGGATAAAGAGCTTCAAAGGTATTTACAACAATCAGGTGAAAAGACTCGTTGGCTAAATATTCAGAGGAAAATCTATAGTCTCAGTAGAATATATCCCGAATATATATTAGAGGAGGATTAATTGAGGGGATAGTAGCACTAAGTTTAATTCTGTTTGTAGCAGACATCTGCATTTCTGTCCCTACCCCATCTACAGTCAAAGATGTTTGGGGTTTTTTGTTTGTGTATTCTAAGCAAACTACTTTAGCATGCCATTCTCTTGACACTTCAGCTGAGAATTTCAGTGAGCAAGAATAGCCCTGGTAAAGTGCAAATATATAGGAGAGTGGAGAACTCCAACAGACAGAAAAGTGAACTGGAAGCACTATGTCTTAAATAATAACCAGGCAAATATATCATCCTTTAGGAGGTGCAACGAGGACAGAAAAGGTTTCTCTCTTGGAGTGTTGTGTCAACAAATACAAAGTATCATGGAGAGCATGAGGAAGAGATAAGGCATGATAAATTCCCTTTCCTTCCTTCATTTCCCTAGAAGAGATTACAGCAAAACATTTGAAGATTGAAAGACCATAAAGCCACACATCTCCCCCTCCTGCAAACTGCCCCTCCTCTCCTCCAATTTCTAGCCTTTGGGAAGAAAATTCATATTTCACATTTTTGATTCTGGTGGCTCCATGGTAGGAGAATGATGCGAATGTCCAGGCACATAGCCTTTGGGGTTAAGTAGAAGTTATCCTCAGAGTAACTGATTTAGTTTGCTTCATTTGTTCCAGGAGCTTCACAGAAGTGCAGAACCTGTCATTTGCAGTTACTAAAGAAGTTTCTCTGCATAACCAAAGAATATGCGAAGAGAAAAATGGACTAGATGTTGTGAAACACTGGTACTTCAACTAAGTTTGTGTATTGTTTTACTAACGAGTGGGTTCTAAATCAATGCCAGCATACTTCCTGTGTGAACATATAACTTATCCAAATTTTCAGTTATACCAGAATATGAAACCAGCAGCATATATGCTTACTAATGTAAGAAATGGAGTTTTCTTCTGCATGTCCCATAAGGAGACATCTTTTTTTTAATATGAATTTCTGTGACACCATTTTCATCACCTTCTGCCTTGACAATACTGAAAGGTAAATAATTAATGTTATTCTTAGCAAATATGACCTATGTATTGTTAAACTTCTTGTTCTACTTCCTTGGAACTGGCTTCAAGTACACTGTTTTGCATCTCTTTCCGAAGTAGTGTTCCTTAGAGAGCAGCATATCAGAATATAGATGTGGAATTGTGTATGTGGTACTGTATATTTGCTGATCTCATCAGGAGGATCTGTAGGAATGTACAGCATGATCATTGGTGGCCCAGTGAAGAACTTCTGGAGAAACTCTTAATTGTCCCTTATTTCTGGATTTGTTGAGAGGAAAAGCTACCAAGGTAGCAAATAATGAGGCTGATGCTTGGAAGGAGCCTGGTTACTTCTAACAAGTGAAAAGTTTTGGTAACTTGTTGCCTAATTGTCTTGGAAACAAATTATTAAAATCATAAATGCTTTTGTATTAACCTGATGCCTTCTCTTGAAGGACTTTATTTATTCTTTTTAATAATAAAGACTGTTTTCCACTGCTATATCAATAGCCTTCATGTTTTAATATCTTCACTGATCTCCTGCAGAAGCTTTTGTTTCCATTTGGGCTTACATAGGACTAATACTACACAATATATGCAGTGGTGGACTTATAGACACTAACCAGTCCCAGTGGCAAGCCACGACCTACTGGCATCCAAAGTGCTGAGACCAGAAGACTGTGCATGTGGAGAGAAACTTCAAACCTAACTACCGAGTAAGTGCCTGAGAGTGTGGTCTTGTTATGAACATACTTGCCAGATGTGGCAGGTTTTTTCAACACACTTTACATTTTTATACATGGAATGCATTTCTCTCTGAAACACATGCTATATCCTGTATTTTTTTACCTGTGGAACCTGTTTCTCTGATGGTTTTTCAAAAGCTTTGCTTTGTGTTGTCTGCTTAGTGTTATGTTTCTGGCTTAAGCTGTGTCTATAAAGCTTTTTGGACCACTCAAAAAATACTTGGAGTGTTCTCCTTGCACTCCTTGAAGTGCTATTCAGACTTTCTTCCTGGTATTACTAAGAGTCTAACTAGATTCTTGTCTCCTTTTATTAAAAATTAGGAGTAAATTAAGCTGTAGTAACTGGATCAGTAAGATGTGCAGTGCACTGGATGAGAAGTCAATATATAACAAACTATTAAGACTGTATATAATATCGGTGTCACTTTTTTCACAGTAACTTATCCATGAGCCAGTGAGAGGGCAATGAGTTATTTTAAGTTATTGATCTGTTACTTCTTCTTCCTCAAACATGTTAGGTGACCTGCACTTACCAGTTCACCTGTGTGTGCTGCCAGTCCCTGAGTCATAGGTACTGCACACAGCAGGATCATGCTCTGGTCCAGGAACATGAGCTGCACCTACGAAGTTGGCCACTGGATGGGGAACTTTGCTAAGCAGTCAAGTCATGGGTTAGCTGCAAATTAGTAGTCTGTTTATTTTTGGTGGATGGAGATCTCTGTAGAAAGGCTCCATATGATGAACCTGGTGGTCAAACAACTGTTTTTCCTAGGTTTGGATAATTGCTAGGATGTGTGTCCTCATGCCTTTAAGCTGCTTATCATGAGTGTGTCATTCTGAAACTCAGAAAATTAAGAGTGGTCGTCTTAAATGTGAGGGGGGAGGGATGAAATGAAAATCAAGTTTAGAGTCTCTTGATAATTCTGTGTCTGCACAGACACAAGTCAGAATGTCTTTCCTAGGTTTTCTTGATGGTAGACCTCATTGCTGGTCTAAAAAAAGTTTGGTTTTTTTAAGAAATACTTTTAAATTAAACCCATCCTCTTCAGTCAAATGACTTTCTACCATTGAGATACTATTGTGTGTGTGTATATGTATATATATATACACCCAAATGATACTTAAGCAGCAGACAGCACTATAAATTTTTTTAGAAGTGCTTTGATTTCAGGTACATATTTTCCATCTAGAGCATAAATGTACATGTTCTGATTTTAATGTTAACATATATCCTTTTACTCAGTAATTTGGAGAGGGGTGAAAGAGGACTTGGGTGGAGTTTCAGCTTCCTTCTGGATTTTCTCACTCGGATCAATTTCTAGATTAATCAAGTGCAATATATCTGCATTGATATTATAAAGCAAAGTGGAACGCTATTAGTTCTCTCCCATGAAGAAGGGTGGAGAGAAAGGTTCTGCTTGCTGTGATCATGATTACAGGCTCTGAATTTTTGGGGGCAGTAGTTCATCCTTGCTGCTGCAGGTGGCAGTCGTTGTCTATACAAGCCTAAGGCAAAGTGGGAGTCCTGGAGCTAAAGGCCAACTGCATGTACAAAACAATGAAGTGCTTGGGGATGTGCGCTTATTGTTTCAGAAGAATCGTAGGCATTGATTTGAGCATTCTGGCCATTCTTTTCCTTAAATTGGACACTTGTGTAATTCTTTGTACAAATGGTAGACAAGTGTTAGATAAAGCAGCTCAGCCTCTCCAGGAAAGGGTTTTAAGCTGTTTTGAACTGAGACTTTTCCATTTTTATTTTCCTGAATATTCTTTCTAAGTGGTTCTGGGTTGGCTCTTTGCAGAAGTGTTTTAGGCTCCTCCACCTTGAAATAGCCACAGAATTAGATGCTGCCACATTTAACACTGTACAAACAATAACAACAACAAAGAACTGCAGAATCACTGGAGCAGGAGCTAAACAGATGTGACACCACTTATTTTGTATTTTCCACTTATTTTCTGACAACGTCACATGCTCTGAATCGGTTGGAATCCTAAACAATTTAAGGGCTCTTTTTATTCAGGTTATCAATCTCCCTTTTTTTTTTTTTTTTAAACCTAGAATTAATAATGTTCTCCCTTCTGTAATTTGTATCAATGAAGATTTAGTTTTGTTCTATCTGAATTTGTACAGTACTTATTACCTATGTATTCATCTTCTAGGCCAGAGGTTCTTACTGACCAGTTGTTAACATTCATGTGTCCTAAGGTGCTTTTTTTTTGGGGGGGGGGACTCTTTTTCTCTTCCAAAAACTGAAAGCAATTGTGAAACAAGCCAGCTAGGTCTGAGAGCCTGGGTGGGAAGGGGAGAGCACACAGAATGTAAGTATTTGTACCCTGCAAAATTCTCTTAATTGTCTAAAAAGCAGTTGGCAAGGTAATTTTGAGCTAGGTTTGCACTGCACAGATTGCACTGCCTGGACTGTGATATTTCTTGGAGAGCTCTGACAGTGTTCTCTTCAGTTACGCTGGTGTTGCCTGACTGTTTTGACCACCAGCTCAGGAAGGCTGAATCAAAGCATTTTTTGCTGTAATTCCTGTGCTCTCTGCAATAGGGTCACCAGGGGTCAAGGTAAGGGAGCATCCCTCCTTGCCTGTGGTGCACTATGGTGGAGGTGCAGCCCAGGAGATAATCAAGGCCCGTTCGTCTCTTCACCACCACCCCCCAACCCTACAATTCTTTGTTCACACTAGCTTCAAATGGAGCTGATTCTTTGCTCATCAACAGCAAGTAAGCAGCTCATGACCCCAGCAGATGTTTCTGCATTTTAGGCTAATGAGAACTTATTGGATTACTGCAGTCTTCCCTGCCTCGGAGTAAATACCACTTTGTTGGAGATCCGGAAACTCATACTGAATATGATAAACAAACTGCTGGCTGGATTGTGATTGCCAGGACATGAAAAGAGTTCCACAGCAGCAGAAGATCTAACAGCTCTGAAATGCACCACTGAGCCACACCAATTAAGAGCATTTCCAGTGATTATGTGAGCGTTCCTGTTCAACTCACAGAAATGATTTTAGGTTGTTTCTTCCGCTGCGTTTGTGTGTGGTCTGTAAAGCAAGCACAAGGATGGAGGGTGAGGTTTGCAGAGTAGTCTCAAATGCCTCTGATCAGTTTCTTTTAAAATATTTCTGTGATAATATATATGCGAGACCTATCGAGTTTCCTGCTATTTCAAGATCTTAAACTTCGTATGTTAGGGAAGCAAACACAATTTGCCTCTTAAGACATAACTAATTTCTTGTTTATATAGATAATGTGTTCAGAGATGGCCTGTAGGATATAAAAACTTAATTCCTTGTTTTAATATCTACTGCATGTGGTGGTGGGAAGTTAAACAGCTGATTGATTAGTAGAGTTTTCGGGACTACTACCCAAAAAGATGCTCTGTCTGTGGCACTTAATCCTTTCAGCAGTCATGCTTTGTTGTGTATTTCTTCAGAACTTTTTAGACAGTGTTTCAGTAAGTGAAATGGTAAACAAGTAACTACAGGAGTGCAGCACTGATTCCCAGCTAAACCAAGATGAAGCTTATTAGCTTGACTATAGAGCAATGTTGGTACACTTACACAACTTCAGCATATTATGGACAGGGTAAGTATGGAATCTGTATAGGCAGTACCCAAATATGGTGAGAGCCTTTAACCCTTTCTTGCCACCTTCTTTGTCTTAGGAAATTTGTCTCCACCTAACTGAACAAACTCAAATTTCTCAAATTAATATGACTTGTATGATAAAAGGTTGTCTCTACCCATTCCTAGTTATAAAGGTGTCCAGCTGAATTTTTAATAACTCTTAAGTGTGGAGACTTCACAAGTTCTCTAGATCCCTTATTTATGTATAAAACTGCCACCAAACACTAGACTATGCACAAACTTCTATTGCATCAGTCATATGTAGAGGCTGAGAAGAAAACTGGGAAGGAATTTCTTACTAAGTGTCTTAATGACCAGCCACTGCTGATTAAGCACAGTGCTCTATTCCCATTCTAAATTGACATCTGCCCATATGAATGATTTCTTAGTACTATCTCAGTCATTTTGTCAGGAATTAAAATGTTATACTACTGTGAAAGATCAGCCTCTCCTGTTCTATAGATGATTAATAAGCATTTTTGACAGAATTGTTTAATAATTATGTTCTCGATATCATTATCTTCTTGTTATAGGCTACTCAGATTACATTCTTATTTTGAATGTGCTCTTTAATTATCCTTCCCTTGTAATTTTGTTCTAGAGATGCTTGTGTTCCTGGGAGGCAGGATCAGTCTTGTTTCTACCACTCTGTATCTGGACTGATGTAGTTTCTGTTAAAAGACATTGTCCTCATTGCTGGTAAGATTGCAGTAGTATGGCAAAGCCAATAGGACACTTGTTTTGCAGTTATCAGTTTCTACATTAGGTATCCATGTTTGGCTAACAGAAAGGAGGCTGTCACAGGAACACAAACGGAGAACAAAACTGGGAGTTAAAGAAATGGGTGGGGGATTTTTACCATAAATATAATGCTGTAAAAAGTAACTAAGACCTTATTCTTGACTGGTGGTATGTCATGACTGACATGAGTGTTTTCCACTGGGGATGGGGGACAAATGATTCTGGCTTCCCTGAAGCTGATGAATTGTCCCTTGTTTTTTATTT